TTTTTTTTTTTTGATATTTATTGAGCTCTACATTTTTCTCTGCTCCCCTCCCTGCCTCTCTCCTCCCCCTTCAACCCTTCCCCAAGGTCCCCGTGCTCCCAATTTACTCAAGAGATCTTATCTTTTTCTATTTTCTACTCCCCATGTAGATAAGATCTATGTAAATCTCTCTTAGTGTTCTCATTGCTGTCTAAATTCTCTGGGATTGTGGTTTGTAGGCTGGCTTTCTTTGCTTTATGCTTAAAAACTACCTATGAGTGAGTACATGTGATAATTGTCTTTCTGTGTCTGGGTTACTTCACTCAAAATAATGTTTTCTAGCTCCATCCATTTTTTTCTGTAAAATTCAAGATGTTATTTTTTTTTTTCTGTTGGTAGTACTCCATTGTGTAAATGTACCATCTACCCTCCTCCCCTCCAGTCCTAAAAGAATGCAGGGAACCTTGCCCTGAGAGAAGTCTAAGGACCTCCCCCCTCCATCCAGACTTAGAAAGGTGTGCATCCAAATAGAATAGGATCCGAAAAAGCCAGTACATGCAGGAGAGACAAATCCCAGTGCCATTATCATTGGCTTCTCAGTCGGCCCCAATTGTCAGCCACTTTCAGAGGGTCCAGTTTGATCCCATGCTTGTTCAGTCCCAATCCAGCTGGATTTGGTGAGCTCCCATTAGCTCAGGCACACTGTCTCAGTGAGTGGACCAACCCCTCGTGGTCCTGACTTGCTTGCTCATAGTCTCTCTCCTGATCTTCAACTGGACCTTGGGAGCTCAGCCCAGTGCTTCGATGTGGGTCTTTGTCTCTATCTCCATCCAATACCAGAAGAAGGTTCTATGGTGATATTCAAGATAGTCATCTGTCTGAATATGGGACAAAGCCAGTTCAGGCACCCTCTCCTCCACTGCCCAAGGTCCTACCTGGGGACATCCCCGTGGACACCTGGGAACCCCTCTAGAGCCAAGCCTCTTGCCAACCCCAAAATGACTCCCTTAATTATCTTCTTCCCTGCTCCCATATCCGTCCTTCCTCCATCTCAACCATCCCACTCCCCAAGCTCTCCCTAACCCTCCCCTTCTCCCTTCTCTCTCCCCCTCTCCCCTTCCACCACAGTGTCCCCACCCCCATGATCCCAACTTTTGCCTGGTGATCTTGTCTGCTTCCAATTTCCAAGAGGACCTATATATGATTTTCTTTGGGTGTCCCTTATTAGTTTCTCTAGAATCACAAACTATTGGCTCAGTGTCCTTTGTTTATGGTTAGAATCCACTAATGAGTGAGTACATAACCATATTCATATTTTTGGGTCTGGGTTATCTTACTCAAAATAGTGTTTATTTCCATCCATTTGCATGCAAAATTCAAGATGTCATTGTTTTTTATCGCTGAGTAGTACTCTAATGTGTAGATGTGCCACACTTTCTTTATCCATTCTTCCATTGAGGGGCATCTAGGTTGTTTCCAGGTTCTGGCTATTACAAATAATGCTGCTATGAACATAGTTGAACAAATGCTTTTGTAGTATGATTGGGCATCTCTTGGGTATATTCCCAAGAGTGGTATTGCTAGATCCTGAGGTAGGTTGACTCCCAATTTTTCGAGAAACCACCACACTGATTTCCAGAGTGGTTGCACAAGTTTGCATTCCCACCAGCAATGGATGAGTGTACCCCTTTCTCCACAACCTCTCCAGCATTGACTATCATTGGAGTTTTTGATTTTAGCCATTCTGTAGGTGTAAGATGGTATCTCAAAGTTGTTTTGATTTGCATTTCCCTGATAGCTAAGGAAGTTGAACATGTCCTTAAGTATCTTTTGGCCATTTGAACTTCTTCTGTTGAGAATTCTTTGTTCAGTTCAGTACTGGGGTTATATTTAGGAAGTGGCTCCCTGTGCCAATGTGTTCAAGTGTACTTCCCACTTTCTCTTCTATAAGGTTTAGTGTGGCTGACTTTATGTTGAGGTCTTTGATCCATTTGGACTTGAGTTTTGTGCATGGTGATAGATATGGGTCTATTTTCATTCTTCTGCATGCTGAAATCCAATTATGCCAGCACCACTTGTTAAATATGCTTTCTTTTTCCATTTGATATTTTCTGCTTCTTCATCAAAAGTCAGGTGTTCGAAGATATGTGGATTGATATCCATTGGTCCTCCTATCTGTTCTTATGCCAATACCAAACTGTTCTCAGTACTATAGCTTTGTAGTAGAGTTTGAAGTCAGGGATTGTGATGCCTCCAGATGTTCTTTTATTGTACAGGATTGTTTTGGCTATCCTGGGTTTTTTGCTTTTCCATATGAAGTTGAGTACTGTTCTTTCAAAGTCTTTGAAGAATTTTGTTGGGATTTTGATGGGCATTGCGTTGAATTTGTAGATTGCTTTTGGTGCGAGATCCTTTCTTAACCAAAGGAGAAGGACCTAGACCTTGAACCTTTGAGTGATTTAGAAGGACTGGAGGAGACCAGAGATACAGCCATGGTGGTGGCAGTTTTCAAAGAATGAGAATAAAAGAGATTGAGGCCATGCATTCCCTCAGAGCAGCCAACCTAGCCATGTTTATAATCCTATTACTTGGAAAGCTGAGGCAGGAGGGTTACAACTTCAAGACCAGCCTGGGCTACACAGTAGGACTCTGTCTCATAAACAACTCTACAAATTAGTCCTAAAGGAGGGCAACTTAGCTGTTGATTTTTCTATGAAACAGTATTCCAGGGACTGGTGAGTAGAGACTGGCCTTATTTTTCAAGTCTCCCCCCCCCTTTTTTTTCGAGACAGGTCTTTGGAGCCTGTCCTGGAACTAGCTCTGTAGACCAGGCTGGTCTCAAACTCACAGAGATCCGCCTGCCTCTGCCTCCTGAGTGCTGGGATTAAAGGCGTGCACCACCATCGCCCAGCTCAAGTGCCCATTTTGTACCATATCATGGAAGTTTGATTCTTCTTTTCTTTTTAAAGATTCTTCTTCTTCTTCCTCTTCCTCTTCTTCTTCTGAGACAGGGTTTCTCTGTAGCTTTGGAGCATGTCCTGGAACTAACTTTTGCAGACCAGGCTGACCTTGAACTCACAGACATCTGCCTGCTTCTGCCTCCCAAGGGCTGGGATGAGGCATGCAACACCACTGCCCAGTGATTCTCTCTTTCAAGATATAATCTCGAAGACATTCAGTCCCAAAGAAATACACAGAGGACTACATTAATTATAAACTGATTGGCCTAGTAGCTCAGGTTTTTTTTATTAATTCTTACATCTTACATTAACCCAATATTCTTGTCTGTGTTCGCCAAGTGGCTTGATACCTTTTTTGGTGAAGCAGTCACATCTTGCTTCCTCTGTGTCTGGATGATGACTGCAGACTGAGTCCTTTTTCCAGAATTCTCCTGTTCTCATTGCCTTACCTATACTTCCTGCCTGGCTACTGGCCAAACAGCCTTTATTTAAAATACAATTGACAGGGTACATTGTCCCACAGAAAGAAAGGGCTATATTGCCTGGCATTACAGATTTAATTATATCATGTACCCAAAGGGTAAGAAGCAAGCTCTTGGGTCATGTTATGACCCATTCTTTTTTGCCCTTGTATGGTTTGAATCTCAGATACTCATACCCCAAAGTTCAAGTAGTGGGATGTGGTTACTGCCTGATGGGTTTTGGGTAAATGAGTAGATTTTCACATCTCTGATCTAAGAACATTAATTAATCCCTTGACAAATTTATAATATGATGATATTATTAGGTGATCTAGCTATTGGTTTCAGAGATAGCATTTGAAAGAACTATACCTGGGCAACCTAGGTCATGTTTAGCCCCCTGAGAAGTTAATTCTCAGACCCTCATTTTGAAGTTGTCTTACTTAGGTGCATGTTCTCCTGCTGTACATTGGCAAACTTCCTGTTAAATTACGTCTTTATTTCTGTAGTATCTCAGAAATGGAAAGCTGAAGAGGTAGATGTGACCAATCCTAAAGGCTTTGACTACTACATTAAGTTGGAGCCTGATGTGATGGTGACTACTTAGCTGCAACCCCAGTGCTCTGTGTTAGCTTTGGAGGCTAAGACAGTAGGACCTTGAACTCTAGGCTACAGTGAGCTACCTCACAGTAGGATTCTGTCTCAAAAACAAAACAAAGAGAAACAAACTGAAGAAGTTTATTTTGTTGGATTTTATGTTTTGTAAAACCATGGAGTGTTTATGTAGGAGGAAATATTATCATTGAGCTTGTCATATAAAGACATTTAA